TGGTTCCACCACCGCCCCTACTGTCCCCACCAGTGCCCCACCACTGTCGCACTGTCCCCGCTGTCCCCAGAACTGTTCCCACCACGGTTCCACTCTTCCCACTGTCTCCACGGCCCCAACCACTGCCCGACTATCCCCACTGTCCCCACTGTCCCACTGACTCCTCCGCTGTCCCACTGAGCTGTCCCACTGTTTCCACCACTGTCCCCACTGTCCCCACCACTGTCCCCACTGTACCTCTGCCCCATTGTCCCACCGCCGTCCTCGCCACCGCCTTTACCAGTGTCCCCACCACCATTGTACCCTCCACTGTCCCAGTGTTTCCACCTCATTCCCACTGTCCCCACACCACTGTCCCCACCACCACCGTTCCCACCACTGTCCACTGTCCCCCCTGTTCCCACCATTGTCCCCACCACTGTCCCCACCACTACCGTCCCCACCGCTGTCCCACTGTCCCCCCACTGTCCCCCCCACTGTCCCGCTGTCCCCTCACCACTGTCCGCGCCAACACTGTCCCCACCACTGTCCGCACCCCCACTCGGTTTTCGAGGGGGGGGGGGTTCGAACCGGTAGTGACCCCCCCCCCTTTTCATGATGAACTGGGAGGGGGGGGGGGAGGGGTTCGAACCGGTAGTGACCCCCCCCGGTTTTCCGGAGGGGGGGGGGGGAGGGGTTCGAACCGGTAGTGACCCCCCCTGGTTTTCCGCCAGCAGCGGTAGAACACGCTCTTTCAAACTAACATACATGCAATGCATCCATCCATCCCTCATCCATACATCCAGCCATTCCATCCTCCATCCATCCATCCATAACATACAATAGATTACATACATCGTCCGTACTACATACATACATACATACATACATACATACATGCATACATACATACATACATACATACATACATGCATGCATGCATGCATGCATGCATGCATGCATGCATGCATACATACATACATACATACATACATACATACATACATACATACATACATTACATACATACATACATACATACATACATACATACATACATACATACATACATACATACATACGTACGTACGTACGTACGTACATACATACATACATACATGCATACATACATACATACATACATACACACATGCATGCATGCATGCATGCATCCATCCATGCATGCATACATACATATATGCATGCATGCACGCACGCATGCATGTATGCATGTA